AGCAAAAGATGCCTCATCTACCTTATATTGACTTTTAAATTACTTTGGTCTTATTTCCCAATTTGAGGAAAAAGACAAACGCTTGGAAGTAAATAAAACCTTTTTAAATTGGTCATGTAATCTTTTCAATCTATTTTGTGGTCGAATTAGGGTAATTATAACTTAGAGTAATATTTGAGGGCGTCCAGAAAATAGGGAAAGGATAAAGTATATTGTAAAATACTTTCATAAAGAAAAATGTTGAATAAGAAAGTTGTAAAGTTTGAGAAAATCTAATGGTGACCTTGACTATGACAGTTTTCCCAGATGGAACCCCTATTTTTGACACCGGAAACAAGAAAAGCAAGAAACTTTATGAGTATGATCAAGATCAAATAAATTTTTACCGGAAACATCTATTTTTGAATTTCTGAAATGCAAATTGCAGACGATTTCAAGTTGAAGTATACCCTTGCCAATGAACCTGACCATGACCTTCGACATCAGTTCAATATCAGATAAATCTTCAAGTAAGCTATTTACTTTTTGCCGAGGATATGAACAAGCGAAACAATGAAATTAATTTGTTGTTGCATTAAAATGTTAGATAAACAAAGTAATTATTGCATTTCTTTAAATATTGCATTCCTTTCTCCGAAACCAATCTGCTTTACACTAACGAATGACAAATGCACTCCTCCACGCGATCGGAGCCGCGGGTTCAGTCTAGTATTTTATAAAGATCTTAGAAAAATGAATGACAGGCTGAAATTATGAACGAAATCTCAGCCTTTATGCGTTAAGGTAAAGAGTTACGCAAACATGAGTCCTCATCCCGCCTAAAACAACTGAAATGTAAGAATATACTTTTTCCGTATATTTTGAAAAGTATGCGAATTTCCAGAAGCTACAATCAGATCCCCACTTAGGGGAATGGCTACCATGCAAGATCTGTACATTCCTTCTTAGAACTTACACCTTCAAAGTCTAAGCGTCAGAATCGACTATGAGAACAGTGAATAGCAGCTACCGGTTGGTATTCTATAGATCTCAGTCCGCGAATTGGAGGCCCAGTAATTTTTAAGCAAAAAAGGATGGGTTACGTTTTTTCTTCTAAACAAATTCAAACATTTCGTATTTGTGGGTAATTCGGAACAAAAGATGACAGACACATTCGGTTTGTTTTAAAATGTGTATAGTAACATGTGTTTTTCGAATATCATTGCGCATTTGTTCAATTACTCACAAATACGAAATTTTTGAATTTACTACTAGTATTGATGGCCGGAAAACAGGTGTTTAGGAATAAACAATTAGAAATTCTCAAGAATATATAATGCATTTCTGTTGTTGTTGTTTAGAAGTATGAATCCTACGGATTTGTAGAATTTCAAGTAGTTGCATGAAATTATCGTCGTATTACCAACAAGTACCAAAACCTGCATTTTGCCTGGATATTCGGCCATAAAATTTTTGCTATTAGTCGAATCTTTTTAAATGTGGTCTCATTTTGTAGGTCTCATGTATTTCTAAAAATATTATATAAAGAGTTTTGTTTGTTTTCCCACAAAAATTGGTGTACCAATTTTATGCGTCCACGTTTTAAATACCCCCTTGAACAACTTGTCCCATTAAAACCAGACTTTATAATTATTTCGGCGAAATTTACTAATTTGATCAGACTATAATGCTCATAGTCTGTAGTGAGGTTCAAAGTAGATTCTACAAGTATGCTTGACATAAGTCAATTTTCTGTCAGTTCTGTCGTTCTGTCTGTATTTTGGTGCTATTTCTTAAAAGTGTGAGTGTTTTCAGATAATTAGTGTTAGACGAATTCAAGACATGGTACTTCTTACATATTTTCAAAGAGCAGCACAAGCCTAATGAAGCTAGATGTAAGTAGTATTTTTGTGCTGGTACAACGCTGCCAACTTGGTAGGCACCAATGAAAGAAACTGTTATTAATTCTTCTGAGCTCAGAACCTTCGAGGATTGGACTACGACGCCGGCTCTGCGTTACAGCGTTGCGTTGGGTTGAGTTCCCCCTTGCCGAGACCTTCGATTTCCGTCGCTAGCGGCACGACGCCAAGCGGTAGGCTTGCCTCCTCGTTTCTTCTCCTCTCGGGCTCATTGTGGCTCTGTGCAATGTTGCCATCGTGGGAGTTAGCGTTCTCTACTTCCTTAGTTTTGTCATCGCAAATATTAACGTATATGAGATAGATGCTATGCTGTATCCAGGATGATTCTTTTATACTGGACCTGTTGATGGATCGGTCTCAACAAACCTCTGCTCCTCGGACACATGGTTTATTCTATCCTCGATCTTTTACTACAGGAACATGAGAACAAAACCGTCACAAGACATCTTCTTCGCAATTTTATATATCTGATCACGATTCCAGAAATATAGCGAATCATTTACTTTTCAGAAAAACTAACCTATTGACCTTTGACAGGTGATACTTCCAATATGACATCTATCGTGCAGCAGCACGGTACTATACTATAACTATCTAAAACTGTAATGACTCATCGATGTTCACGTGAACATCACTTAACTACCAGTAGTCGGCTGTTCATAGGCGGGGTATGGATGTTTAACATGGGTGAACTAGATTTGTCACATGCTTAATAAAGAGTGGTTTGAAACATATTGTAAGTCAAAAATTTGGGAATTACCTTTATTCATCGTCGCTTCCACTTACATCTGACAGTAATAAACTGTCGCTATCGCTTTCCTCGTTGAAATTGACTTTAACTGGCTCTATGATGGTGTCGATGTGGTGGTCAAGCTGCCACATTTTTGTTTCTTCCTTCACAACATGACGGATAGCATTCTGCCAAGCTTCGGGCGTGACTAGCTGTATGGAAGTCTCAAGTAAAACCTTAACGTCTGGTAATTTGAAGGTTGTGTTATGGCGCGCAATATAACCCTTCACGTGAGCCCAGATGAGCTCTATTGGGTTCAGTTCACAGTGGTAGGGCGGTAACCGCAGCACAGTGACACCACATTGACGGGCCATCTCATCAGTCACCTAACTAATGTTCGCAGGTTTGTGCTGTTTAATTTTTTGATACAATTCCGCTTTCACATATGAATCGTCAAACGGGATTCCTTTTTCGCGCAACCATTGCTGCATGTCACTTTTTCGAGATCCCATAGTCGGTACACGTTCGGCTCGACGACTATGGTAGGAAGCATTATCCATGACCAAAAAGCCACTATCGCTACCAATATGAGTTACGATCAATCTTTGACCTTTCCCTGACGGTCCACGAAGACCTGTTGACAAACCTTCAATGCTTGCTTATCGGTTACTCACTACGTTTTTGTCTATCCAGGTTTTTTTAACTGTGTGACCTGCATTTACCCATGTCTCGTCCAAATAATAGATTTTTCTGCTTTGTCGCCTATATTCAATCATTTCGCGTAGGTATTTTCGACGCCAGGCGACTATTTCAGGTCTCTCTATCAATACTGACTTCCGATTACGCGTTTCGTAACGAAAATTAATTTCATGCAGGGATTTCCTCATTACCTCAACGCTCATTTGGGGTATAATTTCACTTTCCTTGATCGCTGCATGTACAGCCTTGAGGGTTGGTATCTCATTCCTAAAGAAGAATGAATGTACAGTTCGCCTTAACGCCATTTTGCTATCGTCATCCAATTTAACGGCCTTTCGTCTCTTCAAATTAAACTTTGGATCAGTAGTAGCTCCAGTTTTCTTCTTTTTATGCACCACCATGCGAATGGTCCACTCTGGAACGCCTGTCATACTTTCACAACGCGCGAGTGCATCTCCCTGCGACATAGTTCTGTTCAGATAATTGAACACGTTGAGCACGATTTCTTTCGCGTCCCTCTTCAGTGCTTTACGAAGCCGTCTACTTGTTCCCTGGCTTTCAGTACTTCCACTCGTGCCATTTGTACTCTCCATGGTTAAGTATAACCAAAACAGTAACCACAGAAACCACAACAATAACAATCACACAACAATTCTTATAAAAAACACACGATATGCGATCGCTCAACGAAACACGTTCCAATGCGTTGCCGACGCCTATGAGTCTTTGATTTCATTGGTTCTACCGGCGGAGAACAATCAGCCATTATTTCCATCTCTGTCTGTGCTGTTGACCACCGCAAAGCCACAGAAACGACATATGTCGTACGCTATACGGCTGTACTGGAAGGAAGCCGGGATCGAGCTCTGATCACGTGTTGATCACGCGTATGAGTCATTACAGTTTTAAATAGTTGTAGTATAGAAGAATTACTAATTCACAACAGCGCGTCACGTAGATACACATACTCTGACCTGCGACTGTTATAAAGTAGGTGGAGATCCGATTTTTTTGGAATGCCCAAGTTTAGCAGAACTGGGAAATGATATGTGACTTATCACATATTAATCGAAATTTTCGCTATCACAAAGAGGGAGAGAGAGAACGGTTTTCAACGGGACCGTTCCTTTTAATTTCACGACAACTGGCGAAGTATTGTAATCGCGAACATTCTCGAAAATGAGATATTATGTTTTTTGATCTTACATGACATGTACATCACGAAAAATCCTGTCTGTATGGTAGGTATATCGGTCTATCCGATCTATGACCGCTTATAGCTTGATTTCGATAAAATTTGTATACCATGTTGCTACTACGCCAAGGACGCAAAGTCTTTGTAGTTTTTGAAGGTCCCGTGGCAGCAGAGAGAAAGGTCTGAAACGAAAAAAGTAACAAACGATCAACCTTCGTTTTTTGATGAATGTAAACAAGAAAATATTCAAAGAAATAGATCAGCATAAAGTGAAAATATATGAAAATTAAAAAAAATATATATAAAAAACAAGCAAAGCTAAAAAGCAATCGTGAAAACAAAATGAAAAAAGGTAAAAACAGCAATATAATTGCATTCGCATACTCTATGTAACTGTAATAGAAATAGCATAGTGGCGACATTAAGTACGAGGTATGTCTTTTAAGTTTTGCATATGGAAATAAAACAACACGGTAGGTAGTTTTAAATGACTTTATTGTTTTTCGAAGTATTCTCCACGAAGATTAATACACATCTGCATGCGCTCGAACCAATTTTCGAAGCACCTATTCCACTCGTTTGATGGCAGATCCAAAACGGCATTTTTGAATTTGTCAACTGCTTCTTCTGGTGACTGGAACCTTTGACCACGCAGTCTGTTTTGAATTTTCGGGAAAGTAAAGAAATCGTTAGGACTTAGATCGGGACTATATGGAGGATGGTCCAATAATTCCACGTTTTCTTCCGTTAAATACTGCCTTGTTTTTTGGGCTCCAGGCGAGCTTGCATTGTCTTGGTGGAGGATGATTCTTCTTTCAGGGTTGACTTTTCGAAGCTCGGTGATGACTTTTGGAAAACAAATGGTGGCATACCAATCCGCAGTAAAGTTCTTTGCTCATTAACCCTTTCCGTTCTACTGGTCGATCCATGTAACCACCTATATTAAAACACGTAATTTCAGTCCTACTGGTCGGGTAGCCTTACCGCGGTTTAAAAGTATTACCGTTAGTGACATCTATCGGGAAAAAAATTGACGGCTCTGCCCGTGCGAGGAAGTGTGTATTCCGTAAAGTTTCTTTATCCATTGCGAAGGTTCCGCGTGTGTCTTTTTTCGGCTGTTTGTAAACGTGAACAGACTGAGTGAAAATTGAAATGACACGTCAGTATTTAGTTTTATAACTGTAATATTTCATACCTTCCGACTCAATTGATCAATTTACCATCTGACAGGGTTTTGTTCCATGTAATATGTAGTGGTTTCTTGAGGTAACCGCTAGGACTGTAAACGGTCATTTATGCATCACCAAGAAAAAAGTTCGAAAATCAATGGAACCCATAAATCATTATATAAAATACGTTCCCATTGAAAAAAAGGACAGAAAAATCTGCTCACATGCCTATATATGGAACCTCCAGACTATGCGCCATCTGCAGCACAAAAAAGGAAGCTCATAGGAATATGTGGAGTTGCACGATTTGCGATGTAGGTTTATGCCTGAATGACAAGAGAAATTGTTTTCTTGCATATCATAATGTCGATTAGCCTCATGTTGCGGAAAGATAATGCTTTGTTTCTTTGGTAAAAGGTTTTGTTTGGTGGTCTTACTGGTTCGTTCGGGTGACCACCATTTTTTCAAAAAAATATGTGTAATACATTTTTTCACAAAATGTTTGACGTTTTTATTACATCCTTTAGGTTCGGAACTAGGTTTATGAAGTGAAAATCCTAAAATTATTGAATTCCGGACACAAAGGGCTAAGAGGAATTGTTGCAATATGACCCGCTTTTGGCACAAGTATCGCGACCATCTTTTTCGAAACACTTCGGGAACCGATCACTTTTGTTGGCTTTTCTTCACCTTGGAACACCCAAACAGCCGACTGTCGTTTATTTTCTGGTTCATAATAGTAAATCGTCGATTCAATTATTATTAATATATAATTAAAACGGTCAAGTGTTTTTTGACACCAATTAACCCTGACTGCTTTCTGCTCTTCAGTCAACAGGTGGGGTATCCAACGAGAAACTAATTTTCTTACTACTAATTCTCCATGTAAAATTTTATGAATTGAGGTCTTTGAGATCTTCAAGGACGCCTCAATCTCGCGATATGTCACATGTCTATCTTAAATGATGAGTATGCGCACAGCATCGACGTTTTCCTGGGTGACTGCCGTTTTTGGTGCACCCACCCGTCGCTAAGATTCACCCGTCCACGTTTGAATTTTCCATACCAACGGGAAATTGTCGACTGATATGGCGCTTCGTTGCCGAAAACAGACAGTAACTCAGCAAGGCATTCTTGTTGCGATAATTGTCTCTGAAAGTTGTAATAAATTATGGCGCGAAAATATTCTCGGTTGAGTTCCATTTTTCTAATGTCTTGGTGACACTTAAAAATTCACTGTAGTGAGAACTTTGAATTTAAGTTTACTAAAGGGTGAGGTTAAGATTCAGTACTGACACTCGATCCGTGCGGCCTACTATGTTTCTATATGCAAAACTTAAAAGACATCCCCGTAATGGAAGTTCTGTTTTCTATTAGAGCATGATATTGAAAATAAGGATCTGGACAGTTGGTCACCGACCCGTGCCAACGACAGAACAAAAAAATGCGGTCCCTCAGAGCCAAAATAACAAACCACAAACATAATTTAGACCTCGGTGAACCCTGGTTGCTATTACTCTGAAGGACCAACAAGCCTCACACAAGCCCATTATTTGCCCCTAATTAAACTATCAAAGCTGCTGAAAATGGGTTTGTCTTCTCACTCTCACAGATTAAAGCAGCTCTTTACAACGTATTTCACGATGAGCAGATGCCAATTTTTGCTACAAGACACAACTATCGCTCTTTATCAATGTGGTTGAAAAGATTTCCTAACCTAAACAAATATATCCCTGTAAGACCTTTATCATACATTTATCATAACTAATTATTCTTTTTTCTATGTCGTTCATTATATCTCTTCTAAGTCCCTGTCTTTAATTCTCTGATTTATAAGACAAAACTCATTGCCCATGTACGACAATTTTCAACCTCCGACGCAAAAACGAGACGTTTGTGTATCTGTCTTCCCAACGGATGAACCGATTTGTCTGCGGTTTTTTTCTGAAACCAAAGAACTCTCTGTGAGGTTTGTTTCTAGCTATGGTTGATGAAAATCGATTCAGCTCTTTACAAGTTATAGGGGTGAACGTAAGAACCCTAAGTAAGACAACATGCCTGAAATGGGTTGATACGAATCTCTTGAAAGTAGGGGTTTTTGAATTTTTCTGGCAAGTAATTTGTTTATATCAGATAGCATGCATTAAACAATCTATGAACGTAATGCCAAGTTGTCAAATTGATCAAGTTTAACCTAGACAAACGTTGGGTTGAACGCTTTTGGATATATGCATAGCGTGACCCCAACTTTGATATCCAGTACAAATCTCCTGATTAACCAGTTTTTCACAAACGTATTCGAAACCGTGCGTTGCATGCTCCACCTGCATATCAGTTTGACCCAGTTCACAAACCCATTTAGATAGACAGGCTTGAAACAAACCGAGCGAGGCATTACCATAATACCCCCGGTGAATATGAAGCATGGGAATTTAAAGTTCGCAAAATGCACCTGTCCTTCTTTCGAATTGAGTTACTGGGCCAATCGTTTATTCAATATTTACACGAAGGCTCTCAGGCAGTTGTAAAATATACAGGGTGTCCGCAAAGTTGGGGTTTTCCTTTACACGACGTGTAGATCTTGAAAACATAAGCAATTTTCCTTAGTACCATATACACCAATGTTTTAAGGGAACCGAGATAAAGGGCTCTGCAACATCAAAAATATCTGAATACCGTCCTGTAGCCGCGACATCACGGAGTGGTGTACAATGTCACTGGCTCAACCCGACGACAGAACTGGGTCGGAGTCAGTGTTTCAGGTCAGTATGCAACCTTCAACCGACGGTTACGGTCACGCGTGTAGAGGTAATCGCGTAGACGAGAATCCCTCAACAAGCACTAGAAAAGTGCAAGTATCAAAAACTAAAGTGTGGCAAACGCTGCGTGCAGAGGGGCTCTATCCGTTTCACGTCCAACGTGTACAAGCCCTTCAACCTGACGATTTTCCAGCAAGAGTGCGGTTTTGTGAGTGGTTGTTGCATCAACATGACAATAATCCGGACTTTTTGAAGTGCATATTGGTGACAGACGAATCTACATTCACGCGTAATGGGGTGAATAACTTTCACAACACTCATGTTTGGTCAGTAGAAAATCCGCACGCCGTCCGTCGGGCACATTTTCAACAAACATTTTCGGTGAATGTTTGGGCTGGCATGGTGCGTCTGCTCGGTAGCGCATCAGCTGATTTCATTTTCTGTTGGAGCGGTATGATTTCGGGCAGAGACGTACTTAGCCCTTCTCGTCAACTGGAGAGTGAGTACTTTTTCCTTTATTTTTTTTACATGATCGCCCTCGTTTCACTACACATTACCTTTGTTATTTCAAGGGTAGTTGTTTCTGAAAAGGAAAACCGCAACTTTGCGGACACCCTCTATTTTCAAGTAACACGGCAGTTTGTTGGTTGCAGGAGATTAGTAAAAAGTGAAATAGCAATATGAAGGTTGAAATTTTTATATTGATTAGCCGTGACTATACAGTGTTTTTGAAGAACGTCCCTCCCTACTTATATTTCTGAACGGCTCAAGTTAGCAGGCTCAAGTTCTAGGCGATGAAGTTAGTGTGGATACTATATTTTTGGGTATTTTTGTAAAGTTCCAAGATGGTGGCTGGGGTCAATCTTAGAACATTTTTCTAAATGCACTAGAAGTTTATGACTTCAAAATATACTAAGTGACATATAAATCCGAACACCCAGTTTAAATGGTTTAATTTTAATAAAAGTTGGTGAATGTATTTATCTTACTGTAAATAGTAAGTGAAAAAATTTTCAGCCTTATCAGTTGGACATTCCGGTTTTTATACTGCTTTTTTTTTAATTCACTAACGCTCTAAAAATGAATATTTCAGCCGCAGTAAAGAATCAACGTTGGCGGATATTGGTTCTTGATATCCTTTACGATCGGTTACGATGCCTAGAGTACGGAGACCTGTACGATTTCGTCAACTTAGTGAGTTTGATAGGGGCCGTATAGTGGGACTTCGGGAAGCTGGACTTTCTTTTCGGGCAATTGCAGTTAGAGTGCAAAGAAGTGTAGACACTGTGGTTAGGTGTTGTCAGGCATGGCTTCGAGAAGGCCGTACGCAAAGAGCAAGGGGCACTGGACGCCGCCGTAGAACAACAGACCGTGAAGATCGCCGCCTAAGATTATTGGCCTTAAGGGACCGTTTCTCCACTACCAGGTCCATTGCAAATGAATGGTTTGCAGAATACGGAAGACCTACTGGCATGCGAAGTGTTTACAGACGAATGAGAAGTTTTGGCTTGTTTTCATACCGGCCACACTGGGTCCTCCCTTGAACTCGAGAACACCGACGTAATCGCCTTGAGTGGTGCAGACAACGGTCATTCTGGGATCAGGAATGGAACAGTATTGTCTTTAGTGACGAGTCTCGATTTTGTTTAGGCATGCACGAGGGTTAGAAGGCGACATGGTGAAAGGAGGAATCCACAGTTTTTTGTTGAAATACATGTTCATCACACTGTTGGAGTTATGGTTTGGGGTGCTATAGCTTATGGTTCCAGGTCACCTTTAATCTTTATCAGAGGTAACATGAACGCGCAGCGTTATGTCCACGAAGTTCTAGAACCCCATCTTTTACCCTATCTTGACACCCTGGCAGATCCAACTTTCCAACAAGATAATGCCTGACCACATGTTGCAAGAGTCACAATAGACTTCTTTCAACATAATGATGTCACATTGTTACCTTGGCCACCAAGATCTCCCGACTTATACCCAATTGAGCACGTGTGGGATATGATGGGTAGGAGATTGCTCAATTTGCAACGTTCTCCTCAGACTCTAGAAGCACTTCGAGAGGAGTTGGTGGTTGCCTGGAATGAGATACCACAGGAGGACATTGACCACCTGATCAGAAGCATGCCTAGGCGCGTTGGAGAATGCGTAGCACATCAGGGTGCATCCACACATTATTAAAGGTCAAAGGGCTTTGAAGCAGTGCAATCATTTTGAAATTTTCATCATTTACTTATTATGCTTCATTAAATACTTATACAAAATTTTATTAAAATAAAACCATTTAAACTGGGTGTTCGGATTTATATGTCACTTAGTATACATATAATCGCACTGACAGGCTGTCAATGTTGAGCGTTTCTCTACATCGGATCGCTTATGGGTTTGTTCCTATAGTAGTCGGTAACTTTTCGGTGACTATGTCTGGGATCCGGTCGTGTGAATTCCGCCTATATAGCGTTGCAGAGTAAACGGAGTTAGTGTGGCGGAATCTTGGACACGATTACTCAACAGGTTGGTGGGTGCTGTACGAACAGTGGACAGACAAATATGGCGCCGCCTGATGACGACGATCCCGGGAATAAGAAAAATAAATGTGAATTATGTGGTGATAATAGAACATCTGGTGTTCAGTGTTCTATATGCACTGCACACGAAGTGTGTTGGGCTGGTTTCCGGTATTTTCGCAATAGAACGAGTGAACTGGACGTGTAAGTCATGCATGCTTACTACTGCTAACGCCCCGGAAACGGATGCAATTGAGATGCTGCAAAGGGAAAATCAAACATTGAAAAAGACCGCATTGCAGATCTGCAAGAAAAAGTTTCGAACAAAAATGGTTCGTATCTCATTCCTACAGTTTCCTATAGCTCGGCCGTAAAAAATGTAAACATTCCACACAAACAATCACAAACGATATTTGTGAAATCTAAATCGGATGAACCTGCTAATTACAAAACCACGGAGTCCCTTAAAACCAAAATAAATCCAGCAAATTCTAGTTTATGCATCAGCAGTACAAAATTAACAAAAAATGGGATTGCGATTAATTGCGAGAGTGAAGATGATTTAGATAAAGTAAAACACAGCCTGAAGGAACACGCAGGAAACGAACTTTGTATTGTAGAACCACGCAGACTAAATCCAAAAGTAAAAATTTATAAAGTAGAGAATGATCATTCCACTAGTAACATTTTAGATGCACTAATAGATCAAAACGATTTGGGATGCACGTCTAGCGACGTGAAATTTTTGCACAAACACAACCGTGGATCTTTCACCAAAAGTGCATAAATACATCATGAGTCGAGAATTTTTATATGTTGGTTGGAGAAAATGTACTGTCACTGATTACTTTCCTGTCCTTCGCTATTTAAACTGTTGTGATCATACCAAGGATGCCTGTAAGAACGTACTTACCTGTCCAGATTGCGCAGGTCA